TTCGAGATGATTAATGGAATCCTCCGTCCAGAACGCTTCAATCTCTCATAGCGGTATAAACTTCGAAAAAACACACGTGCGAGTTATCAGCGAAGAGAGATAAAATGTTTATTTCGTGTTTCAAGAAGTGTACAATATTCCTTATTTCCTTTGAAATTTCATTCTCCATCAGTATGGAAAGATTTCACCGAGATTCGAATTGAGCGAAGTATAAACAAAAATATACACATTTTATTATGTGCTATTTCACTCACATATCTCTGCTCTCACAATAGGAATCGATTTGCCATAAATGACAGGGATTGTTGCGAATCGGGCGAATAGCGATAACGCTAGGAAAACCGGCTATGGAAAAATTCGTATACGTATGCGTATCGAGGATAACGCGGATTAGGATACGTAAGTAGATCAAGCGAGGAATATCTTTAGAGGATACAGTCCAGTTCCCGGTCGCGCTATCCCTTGGTCCTCGTCCAGTTACGATGGTGCTCGAACTATTTTCCGAATACGTAACTCTTATCCGCGGAGAGGCAAACGGCCAAATATTCATGCGACCTCATATCGTGAAATGCAAACGGATGATTCGTCTCTTGCGATACGTAAACTGGATTATGCGCCACTGAGCTGGGATAGAATTCTAGAAAGAGAGGTGTAACGGGTAAAGTAGAAAAGCGCGAAGGAAACCTACGGATCGTCTAGCGCAGACTCGAAGAATATAAAATCAAAAGGAAAGAGTTAAGATTCTAAAACATTGAATGCCTTCGCAACTTTGTTGTCCCCGCAGAGCAGTTATACCTTCGAGAATATCTCGCTTCAAAGTGAATTTAAAATAGGCGATTCTTCGTGTGTTTTGTATGATTTCATTATTTTCTCATGATGATATATGTATATAAATTTATACACATATTGCAAAAAAAATTAGCATTAAGTAAATTTTTCACAAGGAGAAGGAAAATATGTTATTTTTAAGAAAAAAATTGGAAATTATAACAAAAAGATTTTAGTTGCTTACATATTAATATATATTTTAAGAAATACATAAAGTTCTTTCTTAGAGCTCAAGAGCTATTTATTGATTTCACTAAATTCTATGATTACAATAAAACAATAACAGTTATAATTTACATAAAGAGACTTCAATCAAATAATTTTCTAAACCTGAACTACAATTCATTAAATAAATTGACTCTGTAATATTTGTCGTACTGATAACTTGGCAAAAGCTTGTTCAAAAAAGACAATTTTCCGTACATTTGCCAAACGAACATTTGCATTTTCGTGCCAAATTTCTATTAAAAATGCGACTTTGAAGCGGAAAATTAATTTACGATGCAGAAAATTTGTGCACAGTAATATCCAAAACATTGGCACGCTATGATTTTTCGTATTAAAATAATAATTTATTATTTTCAAGTACTAAAAAACCAACGAAACATATATCTTTGCTTTCTTGTACCCTAACTACATATTTTATTTTAACGCTTGTTAAATCACTTTAATCTGTTTTCCGAAAATATCCATCGTGTTTTTAACGATGTTATTTATTTCTGTCCTTAAATCCTTACTTAATTTCTTAGGGTCCGCAAAGATTGACAAAACTTTTGTGTCAAGATTTAACCGTAATTTAAACGATAAACCAGCCAAACGCAATGAAAGGATGGGAAAAGTGTTGTCCTAAAAAAGGACGCCTCCATCTACGTGCCTGGAGTTGTTTACTCATCCCCATGATGTGTTTGCGCATTCTCAATAGAACATCGTTGTTTTGCCAATAAAAAGTACTACAATCGTATACTCCCAAAAAATTCTATCGCTCACAAACAAAATTCTCTGTTGACAAAGGATACATTTAAAAAGAAAGCTCTCTAGATTTTTTGAACTATTAAAAATTTTTTTCAATTAAATTTTTTAATAATTTTTTAATAATATAATGTAATTAAAGTACAAACACGATTACAATTAAATTGGCTTTGTATAAGATATAAAAAAACAATAATTCTTTTATTATACACATATTTTAATGATTATATATATTAATTAAAACTTTATTTAAGTTAATTTTCCATGCTCAACTTGTGGTTGAATACACGCGCAGTTATGTATACGTCGCGACGAAAAAGTTTTCCTCTCATTTCTCCGGTTGATATGTCCGGTTTTTTTGTTCGCGAAAAGTTACGAACGATAGCATCCGCTTAGTATTATGCTGGTACGAAGTTTTCCGACTACCGGCACATAGTTGACTCGCTGAACAATATTTTCGTGCTCGGACAAGCCGATAAAAAGTACAGGGATACTTCTCGTAATTAACTACTATGGGATGCTGCAAAAAAAACAAGATAAAAGGAAACCACGATCAACGATAGATAGTTGTATTGTACGTTCGCGCCCATCTATGCAAAAACGAAAAAAAAGAAAGTAGGTTAAATGTTATTTTTTTTTAATTTAAAAAGATAACGCGCGCGAAGAAGGTAGAAATACTCGCTTTAGATAGAGAACAAACTTGGCGAGAACGGATTAATTTTCTATGCCATTTTCCTGTCGGAAGCTGTTTCGTTATCGATCCCGTTGCTACCCAACAGTTCGACTCGTAGAAGTTGCGTTGGTATTATATTGCACGAGGTCATGGTTGTGCAACAAATTGCGACAGGAGATACCTGGATACTCGAGCAAGATCGAATACGAATCGGCTCGGTTCTAATTTCGAAAACAATATTTGTGATCTTCAGATTATCTGCGGGATAAGGGGTAACTCTGATCTCTCTCGTAACGACGAGTTATCTCTTTTATCTCTTTCGTCGGATGGCCGGTACGCTATCTATCGCGAACGACAGATGCGAAAAACACGTGCGCTAAAATTTATATTAAAATTCATGGGACACGCGTGTTCCTCGTCGCGATTACATCACCGCATTGAATGTGCATATTACGCCCGTTATACTTCGCCGGCGAAAATTGCGGATGCTGTACCACGCGACCCTCGGGGATTTTACGTGTTTCGTAGCCAACGATCAATCGCCTAACTTTCCTCTCTCCCTCCCTTCCTGTTTCTATAAACCCCCCCATTTCCTGTTTCTATAAACATAGAAGCCAACACGGGTTACGAAATATTAATTCCCGAGAATCTCACCACGGCGCAGCATATGATTAAATCCGCCTTGATAAAAAGGATATTCGCGAACGCGGAGTTTCCTAGTCATTCAATGTTTTTCGTAGGTACATAAAATGTGGAATTTAAAGGGGCTTTGAAATGGATTCAGTACATTCTGCGAATGAGGCAGAAATTATATAAATATTATATTTAATGATTATACCTATGAATAAAACATGTACAAAATATTGTTTGTGTAATATTTTTTTAAAGAAATTACATTAAAATAATCAAACGATAATATTCAAATTTTTTTAATTACGTTCAAAATAATTATTTAAAACTTTAATGACATATAATATAGGAATATTTATTAAATAAAATATTTATTTTAAATTTATATATTCTCGTTTAAAGAGAATATAATTCATGCAAAATAAAATAAACTATAAGGGATTAGATTAACTTGAATATTGCGAATAGTACGGCACATCAGTAATGAACGAGGCCATCTCGAATCTGTCGAGGAAGTTAAATAAGCATTAAAAAAGTAATAAGTATATCTATCGATAATTCGATAAGCCGTTCAATGTTCTTGCCTATTATTTCCTTTTTTTAAATATCCAGCGATTCTTATGAAATTTCAATTCGTTTCAGTAATAACTAAAGTAAACGGTCAGACGTGACGTCATTCGTTCGAAGCGTTACTAAGTCGGAAGGAATGAAATTGTCGGAGATATCATCATAGAACGAAGCGAAGCATTGTCTTCCAAGTGACCAATAATTTCTCATTCAAATTATCGCGAACGTTAATATGGAATTTTTTGATCCGAAAACTAATATCATAATATTCTAAATGTTTTGTATTTTCGATTTGTAATGATAGTTTCTCTCTTGCAAATCATGCCATTCGCGTCGATCAATTTTATCTTAACGGAGAGAAGGTTTATCCGTTCATGAGAATTTCCTTTGTTTTATTCGCGATTTACGATGCAATCAAGTTTTTGTACGGTCGCTGCAAAATTTCAGCGAAACTCTACAATCGCATTTTCCTTACGAATAAAGCGATTACGAATAAAGAAAAACGATCAAAATAAAGGAGAAATTAAATTTACGAATGGCTTATCTTAAAGTATCGAATACCGATGAGCGCTAGATATATATAAAAAAATTAATTTATAAATTATTTAAAAGGAATTTAAAAAAAAACATTTAATTCTAATTAAGGATTAAATTATATCGGCATTCTCGACGCCTTAGTATTATTCCTCCAGCTGGCATAGTGAGTTAATTGACGCAGTATTTGATTCGACTAATTATTCGTCTGTACGCCCCAATGTCTTTCCTTGCCTCTGTCTCTCTTCCTAGCCTACTAATTACGTACAAATATTCTGCTGCGCCAGCGCTCCTTTCGCATAAGCTTATACCTTCGTACACATGTACAGTGCTTGTGCGCGGAAAGGAAATCGCACAAGGAAAGCAAACATCATCTGTACACTTTGTAGTTACGATGCGGATGCTTGCTGATACTGATTGTGTGCCGTTGTTTATCATGCCATTACTACGATTGCCTTGAATCTATTTCATGATGTACAGTTTATATATTTTCTATTATTGTTATCTTATTAGCAACGTTTTCCTATTGTAAATTTTTAATTCAATATTATTATCGTATTTTTCACCGGAATAATAAGTAAAATATTTAAAAAAATATATTACCGTATTAGTGAATTTGAGGGAAAATCATAGAATGTTTCTATCGTAGAGGCACAATCACGTAACGTATTTCATTTCACGGTTTTAATCTTCCGGAACATCTCATTATGTCTGGAGGAACGCAGCGGGAGGCGCGAACATTAGAGCGCGGCGTAATGTATATACGACGTATAATTAATTAATTGCATCTAAAACTTACCGATGGTGGTGAGCACTGTCAGAGAATAGAGGAACGCCTTTGCAAAGTTCCATTCGTATTCCACACGGCGCTCCGTTACGGTCTCGCTGGTGGAACTCCCGGTATAAGTCCCGGCATTCTGGCTCGCCATCATGTCCTCCGTGATCCTTTTCACCAGTTGGTCCTGAAACCGCGCGATCTCCTGATCAGCCAGTCTCGTCCAGTTCTCACGGTAGAGAATGTTCAGATGCTCTGTGATCAGCCATATGTTCTCTACAGTCTTCGCTCGGGCCTCGTGATTAAGCTTCAACACACGGAGAGTTATTAATTAGACGACATTTTGAAATATTGTCAGGTACTCTTGTCTCTAATACTATAGAAAGTTAGTCTGTAATATTAAGATTGCAATTGACATATGTCACATGTATGCGCTCATTAATTAACGTACATTAAATGGTCATGAATGTAACAAGACATATTCGCAGCTTATATCCTGTGTAATAATTGAGCGAACGAAATTGCGATTTTTTTCGCAATCTTATTGGATCGTAACAATGTAAAGAAATCTGATCTCCCACAGAGAGGAAGTCAATAAAATACAATAGAGAATTGTCTTTCCAACAACGATTAAAATCGCTACGATCAAATTGTTTATCGAGGAAATGCGAATATTCATTCGTTTGTCAATGGCCGATTGCTATCGAGACAATCACTCGTTGTTGCTATTATTGGCTGGAAGTAACAGACAGCGTCCTTTGTGCCGATGTGTCTTAGGAGAATACGCTTCTTCTTTAAAGTGTAAGGATAGCGGAAAGAAAGAGCGATCGATAAAACTTCGTTGAAACGAGCGCTCGCGCCAGAACGCACCGATAATTCGATTGACTTCGGGTTCACTGAGGTCACCTCAGGTAGAAAAGCGGAATGAAACCGGAGACGTGACGATAAATCGAGAGCCGATGCCTCCGGAACTGTTTGCTGCTCCTCGAGGGAAAGAGAAACAAAAAGTTCGTGGCTTACGTCCTTCAACAGCGGCAACAACAATCGTGACTCTCTTATAGCGTATCGAGACATACACACGAGTCTTGTTTATTCTCTTTTTTTTATTCCGATCGTATTTGTGTATATACGCTATATATAGTTATTAAAAAGTATTTCTATATGTTTTCAAAAACTCTCTCGAGAACAATTGTCTAGTTATGTATTTTTTCTCATCATATGTTTTTAAAGAAATTTCAAGATAGATGTGTTCTAATATTTTCCTGTTTATATTAAAAGTGCAACGATATTTATTCATGAGAAAAATAATGAATAAACATTGTCGAGAAATTTAAATATACGTACAAAGTTATAAATTATCATTTTTCTTACTTTCAACAAAGCGCTGGTGTTCCTCCTGGTATGTTGATTTCCGACTATCGTCGTGACGAGAGTCCTCTGCTGCAGCCCAACGTCGGCCCCGCCCTCGATAGCCAGGAAGATGAAGCTGCCCAGGAGAGTATAGGCCACCAGAAGGGCGCATATCCCGAGATTTATGATAAAACCCTTTAGGAAAGAGTGTTGGCTAGCCTTGTCTGGCACACCACCGAAGCACAGGCATCTTACTTGACGAGACTGTTGGGTCTTCAAGCGTTCCGACGTCGATCTCTTTAGAGACGAGGTATTGCCGTTGTTTGCCGGCTTGAAGCCCTCGTAAGCTCTGTAATGCCTGTCCTTCTCCATCCTCTTCTCCTTTTTCTATCTATCGGGAAGTCACCGGGACCTGCCGCCGTCAGCTTCGTCGCCGGATACGTCGACGTATGCACGCATTTGCCGTCTGTCTCTTATTTCGCGGTAGAGTTTAACAGTTTTTAGAGAGAACGAGAAATATTTCTAACCCTTCGGCGACAATCTCGCATGCATTACGCGACTCGCGTGACATGCCAGTGAGTTTTACACTTTGTTGTCGAATGTTTTCCGATTCGCGATCGCTGAACTTTGTCCACTATACTCGTTCACTACGTTCACCCATCGAAATACCTCGGATTAGCATGCTCGACGTGCGACAGCGTAGAAAAAAAATAAAATTTTGCGATAAGGTTTTTTTTCGTACACGCGTCCTCGAATCCCGTAAACTCAATCGCCACGGATGCATGACTGCAGTTTGACGCCAGTTATAATCTAGAGGGGGACGGATTCCGCATTTCTTCCCGCGTCAATCAAATTTGTCGGCTTCATTCGACGAAATGTCACTTTGATTTTCGTCACTGTCGATTCCTTATTACGACGCACAGTCGAAATCGCTCGACTGGATAATATCCTGGAGGGATCTTCCGCCGGCAGAGGGACGTTCGATCATACGTGGCGTGCACACTCCCGTCATTTTTTCGTGGCGCGATCGTTCTGGCTGGAATGTGGATTGAAATTCTATAGAGAAAATCGATGCTCGAAATATGTCCTGCGATATTAGTTACCTCTCAAAATTCTTTTCTTGCCGACAGTGATGGCTAACGTTATAAAAATATTCCCTTGCAAAAGAGAACAAATTAATATTTTCAAGACCGATTATCACACATAATTTTGTGTGTAATAATGCCTTTCCATAAATTTATGGGATAATATTTTCTTAAATTCGTTTATTCGCGAAAAGTAAACCCCTTTCACTGCCAAGCATGACAAGAATAATAATTCATTGTTCATGGCATTTATTTCTGTACGCGACATCAACTTGCGTAGTATTAACGGCTCGAGTTATGTGACTTAATTTAAGTTCGTAAACGAATCGCGATACGAGCGTTACTTCGTGTACCGACTATAATGTATTACCGCGCGACGCGTAGAAAACGGATGAAAAATAACGCTTTCGAGAAAGACCGTGACTGCTACAATCTTCTTTCTTTTTCTCTCCTTCGATCCGCGCTCTCTATATTTCTCACTTTCGGGGAAACAGAAATTTAAAAAAACAGCGCGGAAAGAATTTTCAAAAGAGTCTTTCTATGAGTCACTTAAACTTTCTCCCTACCATCTGAAGATGAAGCCACCCAGTTTTCCGCTTTCCCATCTTTTCTTCGGCTCCAGACACAAAAAAAAGAGAAAAAATGAATGGTAACGGGAAAAGGGATGGAAACGATAGAAACTTCAAAGCCTCATTCCAACAAACTGGATTTCCGTAATAAGTAAGCCCGATGCACGTCCGTGATGGTAGCGCTGAATGTTTCAGAGTTCTTTCCTTATTTTATCCCCTCATCTTCGGTAAATTTCTCGTGTTGTCTTTATAAAGACTCAGATTTTTCGCACGTTTCGCGAATAAGTCAGACCAGTAATTTACTCGCGTGTATCATGAGTGTGAGAGTCTGTGTTTGCTGCATGTAAATAAATCGCGCGTTGTCTTCCGGGTCTTTCTTGAACGTCGTTTCTTCCGTGCTTCACTGGGTTCTGAAAGGAGAAAAAGAGATTCGATTACTTACACTAGTTCCCTCGAAACAACGTTGAGAGATTAAGAGAGACTTGGTCATTAACCCCGCTCTTCTCAATAAACGATCCTCGACTAACTATTTATCGCTTGTCGCGGAAACAATTCAAACAGTTATCCGACTGCCACGATACGGAAGACACTCGTGCCTTCGCGATATCGTCGGAGAATTCAATGCACTCAGACGAATTTTATTTCCAGTCCGGAATTTGTGAGAATCCGGACATCGACGATGCTCGTCCGTGCACCGACTGCTTCGACGTCCTAAGAAAGACGGTTGAATTCCAGAAGGACTTTCGACGTAGAATTATTTGAGGGCCCTGGGGGAAATCGCAGGAAACTTCCGTGCTACGTGTTTTCCTGTGTACTTGCACTCGGTCACCTGAAGCTTTCCATCGGGGATAATAATCGACGGTCATGGTAGACTCTACCATTATGGGAAGTACAGAAAAAGAAAGAAAAACGCTAGTCGGGACGAGCGATAGACGGATGCGAGGGATAGAAGTCTGCGGATTGAGAAAACGACGATGGATCCCGCGCGAAAAATATTGCTTTCTTCGTACATTCGACATCCATAAATGCATAGCAAGATCAAGTGATCCGCGACACTATCTTCTTTATTCTTTGGCGTGATTTAAGACTCGGGTTTGAAGGAGGTTTACGAATGGATTTGAAACTTTCATGAAAAATTATTTGCATAATATAATCTATCGATGAATGACTTATCCGATAAAATGTAACGCGATATTGTCAACATTGAGATGCATAAAATAAGATTGCGTCTCACAAGTATATTCCATGTATACGTTGCTACAAACAGCGCATTCTCCGTAATTAGATAGAATCTCCTAATTATATATTCTAGAATTAATTTTAGCGTAAGAACTGTAACAATGGTGTCAATAGTCATAGCGAGCTCAGTAATAGCGAGAGGAAGTTGAATCCGTTGCTTGCTTGCATAATAGCGAAACATCTCCCAGAATTCTCACTCTCTACCGGTCATTCACATTCATAGCTGTCTAAATATGCGCAACGTACACGGTCTTGCATAGCGAAACTATTTCCTGACAATCGCATTCGTGGGAACACGCTTGAGGTAAGCACGTCGGATACTAACTCGACGCTAATTTATCGCTGGTTTAATCGATTGTTGCGCTCGATCGGCTCTCCCGTTCACTGCAGGGAAGAAATGATCACGCTAAACTGCCAAGCCAAGCTGATCGTAAATCGAGTTTGATCTCTCCTCCTTTCATCTCGATTCGCAGCCTTCTCGTTGTTTGCAACTTTCTTTCGCGGACTTAGGTTTGTGACGTAGCATTTTCGCAAAATACAATTAATATTCCATATTATTTACTTTTTGTATTGTTAATAATCTGCATATCTTCTTTAAACTTTTATAAAGACCGCATAATCGCTAGCGTGTAATAAACGCTCTCCGCTTCTGAACTAAGGATGATAAAGGCATGCCTTGAGACAATTAACCTCGATTTTTTATATAGTTAATCTATATCGCGAGAGATGTTGAAATAGAATATTTTATAAAATATATATATATAATATATGCAGTTTAAATTGTCTGCTCTTTAATGCTCGCAAAATCTAATGATAAATAATACAATGAGCGCAACTAAATGCAATGGAAATATATTCAATGTACGCATTTCAATGCATTCAATGTATTCATTGCATTTTCCGCGCTTCGATTTTAGTTTGTATAGCATTATTTCTTTATCGAAAAAAATTCGTCAAATTTAAAATTGCACATGTTAAAATAAAACGTTATTACAGAGATTGTATCGCATATGTACTAACTGGCTAAAACATGCATTAGTATTTATAACTAATTCGCAGCGAGAATCAGAGGATAACAGGCAAAAGTCGATTACATCACCGACGATCAGGTAGAGAGCTTTATGGGATGTTCTCGCGGTGTGAAAAGCATGGATGGACAGATGAGAGAGACATAGAGAGGGGGGAAGGGAGCACGACAGAACGAAAAGTATGCAGGGACGAACGAAATGTAAAGGGAAGAGGGACAAGGGGGAGGCGAAATGCAATTTTTCCGTTCGGCGCTTTTTCCAGCGACAGGGGAACCACCTGTGCTCGTCTCAGCGACTTTTAAATTCGTACCATTGTCGGCTCTATTTGCTGAAAAATGTTTATTCAATTTCGTTTACCGTCACTGCAAGATATTTACCCGGTCGCTTTTGCTCGAACAGTTCTCGCACCACCGCGGACGATGGGAATTGGATGACGCGGGGATACGACGAGGGCAGGAGGTATGAAAAGCTGGGTGAGCAAGTACACGATATGTACGAGACCGCATTTTTACGGTTTTAGATTAAAGCTGCGTGTGATGTGGATATTAAAAGATTTTAGCTCGTGAAAAAATTTACATATTTTTCGGGTCGGCGACATTAACCACATTTGCTTTAATATTTTTCAAATAATCAAAATTTATTGCACGATAAAAATTTGTACGGACAAATTGCTAAAATTATACAAAATGTACCGAAATCACGTAATGTTTTACGTGATTTGAGAGCTTTCCCCGAGCGACATACGACTGCATTTCGCGCGGATATAAATCTATAGAATAAATCGGCGATCTTAATCATTGCGATGAAAATAGAGTCGTACGTGTGGGCTGAATTACGATGAGTCGAGAATGAAGTTACGAGTATTTTCTCTCTCGATTCCACGTCGACTTTGTCCGGTTTTGTGTGTATCAGCGAACGAAATCGCTGTCGGCGATAGAAATTTATGGCAGAATCGAAACCCTCGAAAATTTCATTAAGCCGTCCGTACAGCGATATTGAGAATCGACGGTGAACCGATCGAAAATGGAAGTTACTATCGCGATACAATGTGTTTGACGGACTGCTTAAGCTATTCAGAAAGTTTGTGGCTTATATTTATCTACTCGGTTAATCTGAAAGTCACACACTATGAGAAATCGAACTCGAATGTATTACACCTTAATTAAATGTCAATTTATTACTCTAATTTTGAATTTATTAATCATTTATTAATCATTTTTATATCATATTTCCACTTTTGAAAAACGTTTATAACAAACTAGAAACAAATACAAATGTACTAGAATCATTGATTATTAATTTTTTAAAGATAAAATATAAATAGATTTAAAAAATGTTAAATTTTTATAGTTGAATCAATATATGGAACATATAATATAAATATTATAACCATATAATAGAATAATCAAAAATAAAAAGTTAATAATATCAACTTGGTTTCCAGACAAGTTGTTATTGAAATATTCTAGTTCCGAAGTTACGAAAGAAGCTTAAAAAATAATCAAAATCTTATCTTACGAATTTTATTAAATTAGCATCTTTAATTTTTCCATCGATAATCAACTTACAGGAAATATTTGAAATAATTTAGATTGGTTTGTATCGATGGCCAACAGAGCGTAATAAGAAATCTTCTTACTAACTTTTCTTATCCTCCCATGTGAATTTCAGTCTTACGCGTTTCTAACTTTTTCTTTTCTTGAGAATTGTTTGGGTTAGCCGTGTGGTCTTATCTGCACAAAATTGAGCACACTGAGTACTGCGGGGCAACCGCAAGAAAACGCGGGAAGAAACTACTAAGGAACAAATAACGACGATACATTCTCGCACAGCTGGTCGGGACAAACTTCACCGTCGCCGTGCGTGTCTGAACACCTAAGCCGCGTACTACTTACGTGCGTCGGTGTATTTAACGTCGTGAAACGAGATAACCGCGGCATTTCAGGGTCCCAGGACGAAATTCTCCTCCTCTAGAGTGTGTATGTGTATGCGCGAATTCTACGTCGAGACGAGACCTTTTGCAATTCCGTTGTTCGGGGTCGTGACAGTCTATCGCAGTGATTCCCAAATTTTTTTCCCCAAATTTTTTCCCCTTTTTAGAATATTTCATCAACGCATTCATAAAGATAGTTAGAAATGAGATAAGAAATTATTATTAAAATAAAGATACAAACTGTAAAATAGGCACGTAAATATTAATTAAGAGGGTCACATATTCCTATACAACAAGTATATGTTAATGTTTGTACTTTCTTTTCAAAAAGCAGATAGATACTGATCCTTTTCTTGTTTTAAAAATTGATCTCTGATTCATGTTTAGGATATGCAAAACATAATTATCAAAATATTTAAATTTGTCGCTCTTTCTTTTATCCTCCTTGACTCTTCCAACATCTCCAAGAACGAACACTTTGGGAATCACTGGTCTAGCGAAATACGTGCGTCTCAATTTTCCAGGTTTTCCTGTCGGACAGCTAGCCCTCTCGATTGCGGAAATTTGCCGCGTCTTCGACAAAGTTTCTCGTTTAGACAGGTCGAGTTCGAGACGGGAATAAGCAACTTGTCGATAATTTCGACGCACTCGCGATTGCGATCTGATTCCCGCATGGATCCCATGCCATCGTGTTACGTCAACATTTCCGACCACATCGCATGACCGAGCTCTTTGAGGCACCTTTACCTTTGCCACCGACTAACGGGAGATTGGACAAGTTTTCGTCGATTTCACGTACGACGGTTATATCTGACGGTTTTTATAATCATATTTATTTACGAAGGCAGATATGAAATGCACGCTACCATCGATCTTGTACGCATTTTCTCTTAAATTTTTTCTTGAAACTATCGAGATCAACAGCTTACAGTCGCGACTCTAAGAATTTGTACAATTTTTGATACTCAACATCAATTTATAATTGATGTTTGCTTCGATGTTATGAATAACAAATTGCTTGTACTAAAACGAGCAATACCGATCTATCCATCGCAGAAGAGCGTTAATATAAAGTACACGATCTTGCGCGTCCCACGTTATTAACTTATCGCAAAGTTCAGAAAGCGGGTGTTCAACCCTCATTCCGGGACTATAGCGTCGACGTAAGCGACGTAACGTCGAAGCGCAACGAAGTTCCTCCAATAAAGCT